CTGCCCCCCGGCCCTCCCCCCCCAAGGAGTGACCTGGCGCGGCTGCACAACGATGCCATCACCAAGGACCCCTTCATCGCCGCAGCCCTGGGGCCCAACCCCAAGATCGAGCGCATGCGCGCCGCCAGCCTGCGCCTGGGCAGCCAGGGCGTGAAGAAGACCTACGACGACGCGCTGCTCATCATCGGCGACGCCGCCGGCCACATCGACCCCCTCACGGGCGAGGGCATCCACACCGCCATGATGGGCGGCAAGGTGCGCGGCGGCGCGGCCCTGTGTGGTTGAGCCCCGCGCGGCTGGTGGGTTAGGCTGATAGGCGGCCCTCTGTTCTTGTGAGTGCACCCCCAAGACACAAGGCTGCCGCCCCCTCTTGCTGAGGGCTCAACGCTGCTCCTCGCCGCAACCTTCCCCCTCACCCCCCCCCAACACACATTCTCCCCCGAACAGGCCGCGGCCCAGACCCTCCTGGAGATGCGCGAGGCGGGCGACTACTCGGCTGCCAACACTGTGCGCTACCAGCGGCGCTGGGTGGAGCTGTACGGCCACGACTTTGGGCTGTCCACGGCCTTTGCCAACCTGATCTACCGCTACCCCATCATCATGGACGCCATGGCCAGCGAGGTCAAGCGCAAGGGCGACGTGTTCATGTCCAAGTGGTGCGCCAGCCACGGCTTTTGCGAGGGGGGGGGGGGCTGCACCCCAGCTGCGCTGGCCTGGAGGCCCGGGGGGCTGGCTGTGTGGCCTGGCACTATCAGTACGGCATGCAGGACGCGAGGGCCGCACCATACAGCGGGCTGGGACTGTGCGCATTGGGAGCGGCAGTGGTCGCAACTCTCAACTAGTCCCGTTGCCCCACACCCTCCTCGCCTCTCCCCCTTCTCCTCACTCTCCTCTGCCCCCCCCCCCCCGTCCCCAGGGCTGAGATCATGACCAACATGCAGCCCAAGACCTACTTCCTGCGCCCTGACGTGGCCCTGCAGATGGGCTTTGCCATCGCGCGCGAGGTGTTTGAGCAGAAGGTCATCGGCAAGGAGGACAAGTGAGGGGGGAATTTCAGGGTGCCCCACCCCTCTGAATGGGCGAGGAAGGGAATGAGGCACACATGAGAGGGCAAGAGGGTCAGTGGCGCCGACCATTACCAAAACAAGTTGCGGCTGCGCCCTATGCAAGGGGTGCTGGGTGGAGTCAAAAACAAGTGGGGCCGCTGGTGTCAAGCCCGCTCCTTAACCCCGCGCTGTTGCTGTCGCACGCGCTGCCGTCAGCCGCACATCTGATATGCACAGGGCTCGACGCTTAGCCAATGTCTCACTCACATAGACTTACACACATACACGCCCGTGCACACACACACGCACACGCACACACGCGCGCGCGCTTCTCCTGCTTCCCCTCCTGCTCTTGCCTCCCAGGTACCAGCTCAAGGCCTAGAGCGCTGCATGCCAGACCTCAGAGGGCGTGTTGGAGGACGTGTGGCCCAGCCGAGAGTGCCGACACAGGGGGGCCCAGCGACAAGACAGGGGCAGGCGTGGCCTCTGCCCGCTGGGAGGGCGCCGGGAAGGTGCTGTGTCCCCAAAGAGTTTTTAGGGTTGGTCATCGGATTGCGCAGAGGATTCTCAGGCGGTGCTGCCCTAAGCAACAGAGTCGAGCGCCGGCGCAGCCAACCAGTGCGGTGGCCCATCGTCTGCGCTGATCGCCAGCTTGTGTCGGCTGTAGCCATGAAGATAGCCTTACTGATGGCCCATGTCCCCCGCCAGCCGGCGTGCCGCCTGCCTGCTATGTGGCCCGTTGCTCGCCTGATGACGGGCCCTGCGCAGGGCTGACGGCCCGCTGATTTGGGCGGTGCACAGAGCGCTCCACCTGCCTGCCCGGCACCACGGCGCGGTTCAGATTACCGGGGGGCTGCACCTGTGTGCAGCTGTGAAAACAAGATACCTCCTGTGTAAACACCTTTTGTGCAGTTGAATCCATCGGCACAATGTTCAGGGCAGCATGTCACCCACTGCCTGACAGCAACGGATCTTCAACTCTACTGCCGAGGCCCCAGGGCTGCAAGTTGCTGAGTCGCCGCGGCCAACGCTGCTTGGTCTGGCTTAGCCAGCCGCCTCCTGGCTTGCAGTCGCTCGACAGCTGCCTCAAGCGCAGATGCAAACGCTGCAGGCGGCGCCACCCCAAGGAGCACAGCGGCCTCAGCGACCGTGACCAGGTTGCGCGCGTCGCAGCCGCTAAGCAGCGGCGCGGCCGCCAACAGCAGCCGTCTGACGGCGCCATTGTTGTCAGCAGCCCACACGGTGATGCCCGCGGGGCGGGCATGTCGCGCCTGCGCTGTCGCTCCCGTCACGGACGCCTCAGCGGTCACCGCCCAGCCGCCAAGCGCGTCGCTCAGAGGGTCCTCGCCGGTATCGCCGCCCCCGCCGACGCCACTGCTGGCCTGCAGCAACGGCGGCGGCAGCACCGGCTGCGCCTGCGCGAGCCCTCCCAGCAGCCGTCCAACGTCGTCACCCCGCGCGTCCCCGGGCAGCGCATCCGCGGCCGCCCCCACCACTCCTTGCAGCCAGGAGTGCGGCACCGGCGCGGCCATGCGGCCCACGCCCCAGAGCAGCGTGCCCAGCTGGCGCGCCGTGAACAGCTGCAGCCTGCAGTGGCGGTCACCCAGCGGGGAAGGCGAGTCAGGGCCAGCTGTGGCGGACTGAGGACTGCCGGCACGCGCTGAGCTTCTGCTGCCTGCAGACCAACCAACATCGACATCAGCCGCACCGCACCGCACCGCACCGCACCGCACCCGGCAGCGCCCAGCGACGCCTTCGCACTGCCCGGCAGTGTCGGCCGGGCGTAACCCCAACCAGACAAAACGTAGCAGTGCCCACCTTGCAGCGCTGCTGCGGAAGAAAACGTCCCGCCAGCCTGCCACCGGTGTGAGCCCCCACCGCCCCAGCTCCAGCGCCGCCGTCGCATAGTGGCTGCCCTTGAAGCGGCCCCCGAGCATAAGGCGCTCAGAGGCGGCCAGCCAGTCGTCCAGCCAGGCCTCCTGGGGCAGCCACCCCAGCCGCCCCGCGGCCCACGCCAGCGTAGACAGGTCTGTCGGGGAGCACCCCGCACCGGGTGCCATCACCAGCGGCCGCGAGGCCGCCATGAGTGCGGCCATGTCGGCCTCCGCGGGGCGGTGGCGGCACTGCGCCAGGGCCCACATCACGTTCACGACCTGCAGCCCGCTCAAAGACCCGCCGCTGTCCTCGCCGCTGCCCTCGCCCTCGCCGCCGCTAGCCTCCGCGCCCTGCAAGTCGGCGCCCGCATTAGGGGTGGTGGGGGTGATGGCGGCAGCTGCGTGGCCGCCGCTGCGCCGCGCTGCTGTGGCTGCGAGTGCGTCCAGCCACGGACCTGGTGGCGCGGCGCCCATGTTCCCCAGGCCCCAGGCCAGCTGGCCCAGGGCTGGCGCCGGCAGGGTGGGCAGCAGGGAGGCCGTGGCGGCGTACAGGGCGGCCAGCCACGAGTCAGGGAGGGGGCCCAGCAGACGCCTGCGTCGGTTGGGGTGACGTGCAGAGCAGAGGGGAGGGCAGAATCAAGTCCCTGAACAGACGCGGCAGACGGTCGCTCGGCACAGCAAAACAGCAACGTGTGCGCCCATGTCAGCGCTGCTGGGCACCTCGAGCCGCCAAGCCACCTGCGCGTCCTGCCTGTCCCCAGGACCACCCCAGCTGCCCGGCCCCAAGACCACCCTCCCCCCAAAGGTGCCCGTCAAGAGCCGCCGCACCTCCATGTCCCCAGGGCCCAGGCCAGCCCGGCCAAGTCACGGCCCGCAGCAGCCCCCAGCAGCGGCTCGCTCTCCTCAAGCAAGGCCGACAGCCAGGGCCCGCCAGGCGCATGGTCCAGCCGCGCCAGCGCCCAGGCGGTCAGCGACAGCTGGCGCGGCCGGGCTTCATGGAAGTGCGATTGAGAGGCGCGGCAGAAGGCGTCCAGCCAGGCGGCAGGGGGAGCGGCGCGCAGAGTTGCCAGCGCCCATATGACCCTAGTTTGGGGTGAGATCGGAGGGAGCTGAGGGCAGGAGTGGTGCACAACCATGCGGGAGCCACCAACAGGCGTGAAGCACATCTTCGCACAAAAGCGCACCCGCAGCAGCACTGTTCCAACGCATTTGTCGGCCATTGAGCAATGCGCATTCCGCGCTCATGCCTGGATTTCAACCTTCTCCCCGCCCCAGGCTGGGTAACCAGCCCGCCCCTGTGCCTCACCGAGTGAGCTCGCTCATGCTGGCAAGGGGCAGGCTGGGGCCCAACGCCTCCGCCGCAGCCAGCGCGGCGCCCCGCCAGTCTCCCGCTGCGCGGCGCTGCAGCAGCGCGGCGCTGTGGATCAGCGCGGCCTGGCCCGAGGGGCCCAGGGCGTGGTGGCCCAGCTCGGCCGCCCTGGCCAGCAGCTGCCGGCACGTACGCTCGAAAGCAAGCCGCTCATCCTGCCCGGCAGCTGGCGGCAGCCGTGCCGCCGCAACGAGTGCCCGCGCTAAATCCCCAGGGCCCAGCTGCTGCGCGCCGCCGAGGTCACCGATGTGGGACAGAAGCTCCCCCAGGCTGCCTGCCTGCATGGCGGCCGACGAGGCCGATGCTGCCGCATCCTGGGCCACGCCGTCGCTGTCCGGGCTGCCATCTTGGACTGACGACTCCTGCGCGTGCTGCTGCTGGATGGTCTGCAATGCAACACAAGGATTGGGGGGGTTGATGAGCATCTGCAATCAAAGAAAGTGTACCTTGTGCCCCACGCACGGGTGTCGCCTGCATCACGCTGCTGCCTATAGAGTGAGCCAATTACAGCGCACATCAGCCGCACACACCTGGCTCAAGCTGGGTAGCAGCGACGCCTCATCCAGCAGCACCAGCCAGTCCTGGGGTCCTGGCCGGCGCAGGCGGATGCGTGGCCTGCGCTCCTCGCCCGGGACACTGCGCCCCGCCGCGCTGCCGCTGGTGCTGGCGCTGCGCCCGCCGTCACGGTCGGGCAGAGGGAGCCCGGCATGCTGCCCCGTGCCCACGATAGCATCGACAGTGGATGTCTGTGGAAGTGCGTAAAGTGGTTGGTTTGAATTGTTGTCCTTGCTGCAGGTGCAATGGGCACCTACAGCATTGTGCACATTCGTGCACAACGGTGCGCATCTGTCGATGCACACTGCGACGGCTCTGCTGTGCTGCTTCGCGGCCGCGTAATCATCCAGGCGTTGTGCCACGCCTTAACATCGATCACATTCACACCTGAGGGTTCTCCGGAGTTGCCCGCACCGCCAAACACCCTTGCTTGCGGCACGCTGGCCCACAGTTTGCATTAAAGTGCGGGCCTCGCAGGCCCCACAGCAGCGACATGGTGCGAAACTTGTTGCTCTTATAATGTATATATAACACAAAAGTCGTGATTTGATCGATCTCGTGGCACGTTTGCAAGTCACTTGCAAACGTGTCACTGCTTGCTCCACTTCATTTGTGTTCACAGGTATCGCGCACCGTCATATCTGGGATGAGGGGCTCCAATTACGTATGCTGTGTGGAGAGAGGCGCGCCAGTCCCTGTCGTCCTGGCGCTCTGCTGGTGCATGAGACCAAGCCGCGTGCATTGTGTCAACTGCGAAAGGTGGGGCATGGCAGACCCTTATGAGACCACAATTGCACGTCTGTAGGGATGATCCACCTACCTGCCTTCACTTCAACTGCCTTGGAGTCGTAGGCGACCAATCCCGGCACACTGACAACAAGGGGGCCTGTCGTTGCACGTGTGCTTCTTTCTGCAAGCAGCACAGCGGGCAGAGCAAGCGGGGTACCCCTGCCTGTTCCACCGGGACTCGGTAGAGCCGTGCCACTATCTCAGCTGTGAGGTACCATAATTGCTAACCTCTGCAGACAGTGGAGCGCAACACCACGCCGAGGCACATGACTAATTTACAGCACCGCCTTGCAAAGCCAAAGCAGTGATTAGAGAACATACAGGCAAGCAATACAAACCGGCTGTGGGCGCACGTGCGCTCCATGGACCGGCGTCGCACGAGTGCTTCAGGCGTACACAGGGTACATTGATACGGGCTACAGTGGTCCATGCGGCAGACGCCCACAGCCAAAGCCAGCAGTGCATACTCAACGCCTTGTGGCATCCGTGCGCACGTGGAGCAAAAGGGCTCGGGCACTGCTGACGCGCGCCTTCGACCTGCTCAGCTCCTGCCCAGCACACCAGCAGGCTTGGTCAGGCGCGGCACAGCCCACACCGACCTGCGGCCCATGCGCTTTGCCGCGAGAGCCGCGTCCTCTGGGTTGGGTATGGCCACAACGGGGTCTGTCAGCACGCCGCAGTCGTTGCCGTCCCCCCCTGTGCGCCTCATCCTGATGTAACCATTGCTGCCCCACATGGAGGACCAGCTGTTGCGGATGAGCCAGTACTGGAAAGGATTTGGGCAGGGAGGTTTTGGGGGGGG